CTTGGCGTAGCGGAGACAATTTTGTGCACATTTTCGCCAGAGTTTTACTCTTTTTTTTTTCCTCCTATAAACTTCCGTTGAAAGTTTCGCTGGATATTTCTCCTTTATTTTTTTTTTTTTATTTTTTTTTTTGGTTTTGTTGTCAGACAGCTATCGAAAAAGTTTTCGGCAATGTTTGGCCAAGAGCGTAGCGAACTAACAAAATGAGTTTATTTTTTGCTTAATTTCGCACAAATTAAAAACGTCGAATCCGGCTCAGTTACGGCTCCAAAAATCTGTAGATAGAAAAAGCAAGAGGAAGAAGCACAGAAGCAAGATTGAAAAGAAGGCAAAGTTTAAGCTGCATGCGTTTTGCTGGGAAACAGCAATTTTTCGTCTCGCAAACTTTTTGACGGCACTGTATGGCAGCTATAATAAATATATACTATATGCGTACATGTGCATATGTATGTGTGTGCGTAAATTACATAATTTTTATTAAGAGTTTTGGTAGATATCGTATGCTGCCTTCTGAAAAAACGTCGATATCACGAACTTAGCCGAACTTATCGGGCATTCAATGTGTTGGCAAACTGCTTAATGCGGCTCTCATATAAAAAAGCGTAAGCTGAGCAGATTTCAAATTTCAGGAAGCCGAAAGCGTTTCGCTTTACGCTTAAATAAAAACTGGATTATGGTTGGCCACAACCGCCAAGAGCGCCATTAAATGCGGGGGCCACAAGATGTACACAAGTCGCTGATAAAAAGTATTAAATGACGGGGTACTTAAGTCTTTGTTGGTTTTTTAAAATCTCGACGGTGAGGCACCAAATTACATTCTCTTCCAGGGTTATGTTTCGAATTTGAAATATTCAAGTTCGTTAAAATGCAAAAGGCTTAACAATTAGATTAAAGTTAATCTATGTAGATATATTACTTGGCAAACATAATGTAGATTATGCTCTTTAAGTATCTGGTCCTTCGTCTAAATTATATTCTGTTCCAGTTATGGTATATTTCGAATTGGAAACGTTGTTCTAAAAAGATTATAGTTGATTTATGTTGGATTATAACTTGACTGCCAGAATTTAAATGCTAATTAATTATTTAAACAAAATATACACATATATAAAACAAAAATAAAATATGTATAAAACGAACTTAAAAACATATAAAAAATATTTAAAAAATAGCAAAAAATGAATTGAATTAATGCCTAAGTTCGATTCATTAAGCACATTTTCGTTGCATTTTACAATGTTCACAGCTCGCTAAGATAAAATAGATTGAAACTTGGATTACAAACCAATTGCAGGCTTAGTGCTCAGTGAATGTTATTTAAGTAAATGTTTTAATAAATTATCTAACTTATTTACATGACACCGTTCTGTATTCAAGTTCCAGTTCCTCCTTCCTAGCAAATTTTTGTAAAGCACTCAAAGCTCGGGCTAGAACTTTAAATGATTTATAAATACTGCAACTACCTTTGAAAGAATTGTTAGCCACCAATGTGCTGTTAACATGCATTACCCCAGCATGCCCCCACCACGCCCACCCTTGCCCCAACCTAAGTAATTTTGTCTGCCGCCTGCCGCCTGCCGCAGCCTATTTGAAATGAAGCGAATGAACTCGCGCAGCCATTTGGCTAATTGTTCAGTTTGTTTTACGTGTAAGGCAACAAATTGGCCAAAGCACACGTTTGCCAACGGCAGCAGGAGTCCAGAGGTAGTCGAAGCCCGCATTGACAGTGACATGACCTGCCCTGCCCCCTCCCTCGTGTCGTCCCTCGTCACTAGCTAACATTTAGTGAGGCGGGTTTCATAATAATTTAAATGCTCGGCACACAAAGTGACATGGCAAAGACAAACAAAGGTCAAACAGAGGCTACTGTTGCTGCTGCGGCTGCTTTTACTGCGACTGCTCCTGCAGCTGGAAATGGCTACGTGACAGGACGCAGTGCAATGGCTCGCATTTAAATCCAAGCGCAGTAGCAACAAAATTAGCACGACAAAGGGACTCACCAGCTAGATGGTTAGGACTGGGTGTTGTGGTGAGGAGCAGCTGGTCGAAGGGGTGTACTTGAGGCAACTGGGCGTAGTGCAGTTAATTTGCCATTGCAAAGCAACAGCAAACGCTGAGCAAATAGCAAACGAGCCGCGTCAACAGCAGAAGCAGCAACAGGAGCAGGCTCTCTCTCTCTCTCTCCATATGCTGGGCCTGTGGAACTGCCTCCTGCCTCCTGCCTCTTGCGGCCTGCCCGCTGCCTGGACAAACGGATCAACAACTAAGCAAACAAATGGCGTTGCAATTGAGCACGTTTTGGGCAAAGCGCTCGGAATCACAGTCAAACGTCGTAGCCCAATGGAAATGAACTGCGACACGAACTGGACACAGGACACAGGAAAAAAAGGACACGGCACACCAGACTCCACTCAACACAACCCAAGCGAACTGAACTGAACTGAGCTAAACTGAGGCTGAGCTGGTTGGGTCATGCAGAAGCCGGCTTCAATTCAACGTACGTGTGGCTAATGATGTTGCAGTCAGTTACAGGCAGACAGTCAGCTTCAGCTTTCGATTCGGATGCAGATGTGAATGCGAATGCGAATGCGAATGCGATGCCTTGACTTGACTTGACTTGGCGACGTGTCAGCTGGGCCAATGGTTACGCACAATTTGATTGGAAAATGTGGGCAGCAATAACTAGAAACTGAACCACTTAAGTGCCCACAAACTAAAATGCCACATGGCACAAAATACGCATACGCACCGTATCCCACAAATAAGAAACTACGAGCTATGCCAGTCACAAAAGCCGGCACTAAAAGCCAGCTAAACGTTGCCAGGCCAAAAAAAAAAAAAAAGAAAATGAATACTGAAAAAAAAAATAGATGTGAAATTAAGAAACAGAGGACAAGAGCAGCTGCCCAGGCAAGCGTCCTGCTAGCACAGGCCCGAGGACTTTAGGTAAACCATACACACACACACACACACGCACGCACAGATATACCGCAAAACAATACAACTAAATGTGTTCAAGTCAAGGAAGTCCGATGAAAAGATACCCTGTACAGGATTCGCATTGGCATTCATTCAAAAATGTTTTCTGAAAAAGCTTTCTTGTTTATTGTCCGTTATTAATGGAATATTCAGTTCTTAAATACTGCATTGCAATGTGTGGACATACAATATTTGGTATGTCTTCATCTCTAGAGTTCAACTCTTTTGGGGCTTGAGGGGCATGCTTACCAAAAATGTAAATATTCAACAATTTTATGCATTCCCTATTTAAGAAGCGAAAGGACATATACAAAACTTGGCATCACTTGCTTTGCTTGTTTTCGATATATGCGCCAAGAAACTAGGCTGCAAATCGATATATATCTACTTATCGTAAACTATCGAAAAGCCTGTCATATCTAAGATAAGCGCCTGACAGACAAGTCCGCATGGCTTTATAAACCCAGCTCGTCATCCCGATCAAGTGCATGTACACTTTATGGGAACGAACATGCTCTTTTCTGCCCCCCTTAAATAAATTTGCACAACTTCATTATACCTATTTTTTTCGTGCCCATTTTCAATGGGTACATGGTCTCTAAAAAGAGAGAGAAAAAAATATAACGAAAGCAGGACGAAACTTTTTGCTTTAGTTAAGAGCAACAGACGGCTACGCCCGGTCTGCAATGGCATAAAAGAAACATAACTAATTTGCATAAAATGTGAAAAACATGCTGCCCATATAGAGCCAAGCAACGGCCAGAGGCGGACTCTACGGGCGGGTCGGCGGGATTCCGGCCTGCTGCCAACTTCTCGCCGTCCAAGCGAGGAAATCGAGTAAAAGTCGTAAGTGAAGAGTTGCGCGTGCTGGTCCGTGTAGTGCAGGTAAATTTGCAGACTACTTTTGGCAAACAATTTTACCTAAAAGTAGTGAGCTAAATGAAAACGCCACGCCCCCTCCACATACACTGCACGCCCACCGGTCGGCAAAACGCCCCAACCATACACTTCAACTAACTTGTCTATGCGGCAAAACAAAAGATATTTTTGCATCACAAAGTGAAAGTTATGTGTCTGTGTGTGTGAAGGGGTATGAGTGTGTGTGCGAATCTGTGTGTGTGTGTGTGTGTGTGTGTTTGTGTCGTACCCTCATATTAGCGGTTTGAATCTTTTGCAACATGACCACGTTGAAACAAAGTTCTAGGCCAAATTGTCAGCGAACAATGTGCAAAGTGTGTCCACTCTAAAGTGTCCTGTGAGTGTGTGTGTGTGTGTGAGTGTGTGTGTGTGTGTGTATGTGTGTGTGATGGTGCGTGTTTGAGTGAGCTTATTGGGTATGCGCTTTGAAGTACGAGTTTCAACTGAAATCTGTGATAAAAAGAGTTGCCACCCTGACAAAAACTGAATTCGTTGAAATATGCGACAACTCTTCTTCTTCGCTTCCAGTATAACAAATTCCGTTGTCCAAATGAAATTGCTTGCTTTTCCATAATACATGCAACATTTTTTAAGCTGTACAATACGTGCATGAAAAAATGTTTTAAAAGATTCCGAAATTCAATGAATTTTTTGTATTTTGACATAAGTATTTTATACAATTTAGTTCTGGAGCTATATGACAAAGAGTTGCATACGTTTGGAAATCCATTTTTGTTCTTTGATAAAATTCCATTATGTCTCGCTGATAATGCTTTTGCTTAGCATGCAAACTCTTTAATAGAGTGTTGCTACTCCCATAAAAATGCATTGAAAAAAGTTACAATTCTAGACTTTTATACACTTATTCAATTTTTTATACAATTTCTGTGATATCAAGAAAATTCACATAAAACTTTCATAATTAATTAATTTAATTTTATATTTAAATAGCACTTTTATTTATTTACAGACTCGAATACATTTATATTCTAACTTTGAAATGTTTTTTTTTACCAACATTTCTTTTTTACAATATTTTTATTATATAACTTAAGTCGAAACCCTTTACTAATTTAACTTTTGTGCATTTGTATTCGTTTCAGTTTGGTGAACCAATCGATGCCGGAAGCGGGCAAAATACGAATGATGGTGGCTCGGGCATTGCGCGTGTGGGAGAATAATTCCAAGTTGACATTTCGCGAAGTGTATAGCGATCAGGCGGATATACAAGTTCTGTTTGCACGGTGCGTATAAAAGAGGGTTGTGGGAGAGTGGTGCGGGGGGACCATGTACTCGGGCACCTCGTGCAGACCGTAAAAAGAAGCATTCTTTAATGCCATAAAGATGGGCAGCGTGGGCAAAAGCACATAAAATTGCACTTAAAACCAGGCAACGATAAATAAGCCAAGTATTAAACCATGAAACCAATGCTGATGATGATGATGACGACAACGTGGGGTTGGCTGGAGTTGGGTTTGGATGCAGCCCGACTGCCAATTTCAAATCAAAGAGTTTATGTGTGTGGGTGTGGGTGTGGGTGTGTGTGTGTGTGTGGGTATTTTCTTAGATAAGTCGCGCATAGGATTTATTATGTTTGCAGCCTCGTAACTTCAATGCCATTGAATTGACTAATCAAAGCTCCGCCACAAGCAACTTCCAACCTCATAAACAGCTGCGCTCATCAACTGCCAACTTTCTTCTTTTTTGCTCTTTTGCAGGCGCGATCACGGCGATGGCTATAAATTCGATGGACCCGGCCAGGTGCTAGCGCATGCCTTCTATCCGGGCGTGGGGCGCGGCGGCGATGCGCATTTCGACTCGGAGGAGACGTGGGAGTTCGATGCCAGCAACGATGATAGTCGTGGTGAGTGGGCAGCAGCTGCTGCTGCGGTCGCTAAATTTAGTTGGCAGACGCAATGCATAAATTATTAACATTAGAAAATAATGCACAATAATAACAATAATAATAATAATAATCATCGGCAGCCGCAGCCGCAGTCGCAGCCACAACAGCTGTGGATGCAGCGCCTGTTGTTGCGGTCAGGTCGTGGCTAAAAGCCTGCGGGCAAATTGCAGGCGCCAAAACCGCAGCCGCTCTGCCAGTTGCAAGTGGCAAAATCAATAAACGTTGCATACGCAACGGCGCACGGACCCGCGACTGGCGCCGGCTGACTGCATGCGTTTTGTAATTTAGCGCTATAAATTGTGACCCTAGCAACAGACCCAAGCCGTAACCCCAAGCAGACCCCAGCCAGAATCCAGTGTCGACATTTTTAATGGTTTTTAATGCCAATAAAAAATTGTCAGCATGACGCGTGACGTTGGCAAACTCTGCAAGCGAACAATCTCTCAATACCCTGTAAACATAAAATCCATAAAGTGTGCATGATAACACATAACTTTATGTTAAAGCAACTTCATTTTGTGCACTCAATAACCTAAAAAAAAGAAAGCTGTTAATCTACTTTCAAGAACATGACCAATCTTTAGGTCTCGTTCAGGCGACTTCGAACAGTTTTTCATTCCTATCCTCTATCTATTTATTCCTATCCGCCAGGTTAGTTTGCCTTGTGCCCAATCGACCATTGCCTCGCTCTGTTAAACTAAATGTTACTAAGCCAGCAACACTGGTATTACAGTAAATGTATTGGGGATTCGTTGTCTTAAGCTAAAATCCGCCCTAAAATACTCTTTAACTCCCTATAGAACATCTCAAAGTCGAGCTCACCCGCCTCTTGCCTTGCAACTTGTGTTTTTCATTGTTAATGTTGCAACGTCGCCATTTTTATGCCACTTACAATGTCGTCAAGACGACGGACGCGTTGTTGTCTTTTTGCCTGGTCGCTGCTGCCATTAACCAATCGCATGTTCTTCCATTTTTACAGGCACCAACTTTCTGAATGTGGCGCTGCATGAACTGGGGCACTCGCTGGGCCTGGGCCACTCATCTGTCTCGGATGCGGTCATGTTTCCCTGGTATCAGAACAATGAGGTCGATGGCATATTGCCCGATGATGATCGGAATGGCATACAGGAGCTGTATGGTGCCAAGGATAAGGTTTGGGGACCTTATCGACCGCAACCGACAACCAGCACCACCACAACAACAACAACAACAACTACAACGATGCGCTCGCTCACTTACTACCCACAACAGCGGCCTAACTATAACTATCCGAACTATTATCCCAACTATTATCCGAATAGAGATCGTACGCGTGATAGAGAGCGTGAGCGTGAGCGTGAACGTGAGCGCGAAGAGCGACAGCGTGAACGAGATCGTCAACGTGAGGAGCGAGAACGAGAGCGTGAGCGAGAAATCGAACGTGAACGAGAGCGTGAACGTGAGCGAGAACGAGAGCGTCAACGGGAACGAGAACGAGAACGCGATCGACAGCGCGAGTCCCAGACAACAACAACAACAACAACAACAACGAGAGCTCCAATAACAACGAGAACGACATTAGCAGCGAGAAGAGCCGCAGCCACACAACCAACTCACAGACCATACAACTACCCCACTGTGCATCGGCACAATAAACCGCACAAACCGCGCAAACCGAAGCCTGACAGTTGCATGACCAGCTACGATGCCATCTCCATGATACGCAGAGAGTTGTTCATCTTTAGAGGACAGGTGAGTGACAAAGTGAAAAATAACGTGTGCCATTTTATATAATTATAAAATTGGTATAATATTTTAGCCAAAATCCTCACAAGCTATTCTTGCAAAAGAAGCACGCATTCATTTTTTTCTGTAAGAAATTTAAAAAAAGAAATTTTAAAGATTCTTAAATCCTGAAAATTGGTCCCTAAAAAAGAAAATTCAAGTTATCAAGTTCAAACATTTTTATTAATTTTCGTTTTCCAAAATTTGAGTACATTTTATATAATTATAAGGTGTATTACATATTATACATAAATATGCATATTAAACAAATTCAACTTTTTGGCATATTAATATACTTAAAATTCAAAAGTATTTCAATAAGTTTCAAAAAAAAAAACGTACTTGAAGGAATGCAATTTGAAGCATTTAAATAATGGAAATAATATAAGTACTTAAAAAGTTTCTCGATTTAAGGGAAAATGGATTCTTAAATTAATATCATAGGGGCTAAGATATATAAGATATATATTTATATAAATAATAACCATATCGTGAAGCTCTTGACCATAAATTAATTATTCTGACTATATTATCTCTTATGCTTGCAGTTCCTGTGGCGCATAGGTGCTAGGGGCTTATACAATGGCTATCCGACGGAAACTCGGCGTCATTGGGCCGCACTGCCCGAGGATTTCAACAAGGTGGACGCAGTCTATGAGAATCAACAGCGTCAGATTGTCTTCTTCATAGGTGAGCAGCATTCGAAATCTACCTTGACCAATCTCTATTAAGCGATATACCTATTGCCGTGCAGGTCGACAGTATTACGTCTTTGATTCGGTAACCCTGGCGCCGGGCTATCCTCAGCCTTTAACCAGCTTGGGCTTACCGGCCACACTCACCCATGTGGATGCTGCCTTTGTGTGGGGCTACAATAATCGCACATATTTAACAAGTGGCACCCTGTACTGGCGCATCGATGACAACACGGGCACGGTGGAGCTGGATTATCCGCGCGACATGTCCATTTGGGCGGGCGTCGGCTACAATATCGATGCGGCGTTCCAATACACAAACGGCAAGACCTACTTCTTTAAGAACTTGGGCTACTGGGAGTTCAACGATGATCGCATGAAAGTCGCACACGCTCGCCCCAAGCTCTCCTCCCGCATGTGGATGCAGTGTGCGCGCAGCGTCAACGATGTCGACGAGGAGCAGCGCTGGACGGCGCCACTGGTATCCGGCGCCAATGAGACGACAGATGGCAGCTCTGGGGCGGCCAGCCCGAGTCAGCAGCGGCATAGTATAATGGGCTTTCTTGTAGTTGCACTCACCTGCTTAGCCTGGCGTAGTTAAGATTGGAAATGGAGTTGATCTATAAAAGTTTAGGCATAGGTTTAAGCTTAGTTTAAGGCAGAGGTTCTCAAAACATTACGTTAAACGCCCATTTTTATAAAAATTGATTATTTCCTCTACTTAACGCATCTTAATAATCACATTAAATTATCGAGTCTTATCTTGTTTCTGTGCCCTTTACCGCCCATACACGTGTTGGCGGTATCGTTTGCTTTTGAGAAAGACTGGTCTCACCCATCAGACATCCCCATATATATATATATATATCGATACATATAAATTTAACCTATATACGGTGTGTATAACAGCTCTACTGTCAGACAGTAGATCGCTTCAATCTGCACCCAGAAGATAGAACACGCAGCGGCCTTACAAATCTTCTACAAAAAACTCATCACTTATAAAATGTATCCTTTTCGGATAGAAATACATCAAAAGAAAAACTAACTAAAACTTGCCAGACGCCATATATGCAACAGAATAGCAGGATTGTTTATTTTCGTAACGCATCATATAAATTTTATTTTATAAAGTTACGGGTTCTATGCATGATAATCTATAGATATATAGTTTTATACCGAATACAGATGAGAATTTCTCGAATTTTCTCAGCCACCACTGCCTTATATAATTAAGTACAGTATTGCTTCATATGAACGAACCGATTGGCCCGAGTCCTAGTAGCTATGATCTGCCCGCATTTGTTTTGTGTTTTTAATTTGGTTGTTAAAAAAAACAAAAAACCTTTCTAATTATTTATATTTAAATAATTGTGGGATTCCTGAAACTGATTTAGATGTGATCTAGATTTCGTAAAACCAAAATAAGCTAAGGCGCGAAAGCACAAAATACCGAATTAAAATGTGAAAACTATTTTTAAGCCTCTTAATAATAACTTTTTGCTTGAAGAGTATTTAATTTTTTACTTATAATATTTTAGCTGCAATTTAAACATTTTCAGCTCCCTTTCTATCTCCATTTTCTTCACTCCCACAATAAATAAATAAATTTTTAACTAAAACTTGAAATATTTAAATGACATCAGAATATACGCAAGCACCAAGTAAGCAAACGAAGCTAAATCAAATCTAAATCACCTAGAGCTGATTTCGTTAAGTCTTCCAGTGTGACCTCTATTTCCGTAAGTTTTCTGGTCACACTGCACTTTTGAATGGAACAGCTAAGCGACGAAATCTAAAGCAAATCAAAACTAATTCAGGAATCCCACTAATGTGATATTATAATAAAATTGTATATGTGCGATTCAACAATGAACCATAAAAAAAACATTCAAGAACAAAACCACTTATAAACAATTCGAATTATTACATTTATTAGAAATATATTTTGATAGTATTAGTTCATTACATCTGTATATTTGTATCCTTTTAAAAAAAAAAAAAAACACCCATTTAAGCTGAATATTTCCTTTCATACATATTTTGCTGAGATAAATAAACGCAGTCATTTGCGAAATACACTGAGTAAATATTTGTAAATCTTATTATTCGGTTCCCATTTCGTAACTCTATAATTATACTTTTTTATATCCTATAATATTCCGAAATATCAAAAACAGTTAGTTTTGATCATTGTGGATAGTTCTTAGAAATCCCATAATTATTGATTGATATAGTTGGTTATTGGGATGCCACTGACTGTTTAAAGACGGGAAGGAACTATTTAATTGAAAGGGATTTGCCTTAAATGTAACCATCAAGTATTTTCTGATATCGCTTGATGTATGACAAAAAAACTATAAAATATGATGTAATCTGGCAAGCATATGAAAACCATTTCGATATCGTGTTTGGTTTATTGTTTATATCAAAGGTGAATGATAACAGAGTGCACAGATTGTGCAGTAAACTGATTCGTCAGCTTTGACAAATCAAATTGCTTTTGTATCGCTTCATGACGAGTTTTACGATCTTTTAAATTTATGTGAAAAAAAAACTCAAGTACGGAGCCTTTTTTTCGAGGTAATGAACCTTGTTGTCAAACTATGAGTATTTTATGTTCCCTGGCCAGTTCCCCGTGTTTTATATAGTATGAAAAGCTTTATGAACGTGTATCTACTAAATACGATAACAAATGATAATTAGTTGGGCTACGTAAAAATGTAGCAAGCCAAAAACTCTATTTAAGTAAAAAAACAGATGTATCATGTTTAACGATAATGCCCTTATCTAGCGCTATAGACAGGTAAATAAAAATGCTTTAGATATATATATATATATAAACGTATATATATTACCGATAACTGATAGCTGGGGCAGTGACAGTTAAACAATTGAAGCCGGAAGAGAGTCAAAAAATGTGTTATTTATAGATCTGTTTAATGCATGGACTCTATAATCGGTAAATATTCACGGATTGCCTGCTGTAACTGTTCGAGTGATAGCTTTATAATGTCCACTTAAATGTTACATATATAAAATTACAGGCTTTTGTTATCTTATCTTGTATTTAATGTCGTTTGACACAAGGTGCTGAATTATTATTGTAACAATCGCTCGGCAGACACAGAACAGAGCAGAAGCTCAAATTCTCCCGCTCAGTTGCACTCGGGGCTTCAGTCTTTCGGCCAGCACTTGTGTGATATATTCAATATTGTCATTATTGTCCATGCGTCATGGCCCGTGACGACACCATCAAGAGAGAGTGTCCCGAAACCGAGTCCCCCGAGCCCGAGCCCAAGCCCGAGCCCGAGCACGAGCACCCAAAAAGCAGATCCAAAAACGCCAATCGTGCAACCGGAGCGTTGACAGTCGCGCATAGACCACAGTCGAGGGCAGTAGCACAAAGTGGTTCAATATTTAAATACGGACGTAAATTATACGGCTATCCATATCTATGTGCATACACCTACACAGCAATACGTACGTCGGCCCAGATACATACATACATATATAAATATATATAAATTCATATATATAACTGCTTATATTAAATTAGAGACAATTGTGAGTAGAGGTCGAGCAGCAGTGGAAATTGTGCAAAGCTTTCCGCCGCCTAGTTAAAGACAAGTCAGGGCCTGCACTGGTATATATATATATGTATAAATAGATATCGCTTAGGACTGAACTCAAACGGCATTGATAACGCCCACCTTGTCTTGGCTATGACTAGGCCTTAAGCAAATGCTATTAACTGTGAACGCAGAATCTAATCAATAGTGCTTAATGTGTGGTGTTGGCTCCAAGGGCTTGTCCAATCTATGACGAATCTGGTTCGGTAAATTCTAGCACCTGGTTGCCTTAGTCTATATCTAATCGCTGCACGCAAAAACCATGACAGCTTCAAATTGCCCGGAAGTTCACTTTTGACTATTATCTATCGATCGCCTAGAACAAATTTCAATAAATCAAAACTCTATGTGTATTATCAGATAAGTGAGCCCACCCGAAAACCGTACCGCCAAAATCATGTCGACCAATCAGAGCAACGAAGATAATGCCATACGTCCGCTGTGCGCTGAGCTGGCGCTGAAGGCGCAACAGGAGCTGGGCGAGGTGCCCGAACGTGTGCCCGAGGACATTGAGACGGTGCGCACATGGATCTCAAAGCAGCCGCATCTGAAGGCACGCCAGGATGCGCAATTTCTGGTCGCCTTTCTGCGCGGCTGCAAATACAGTCTGGAGAAGACCAAGCTCAAACTGGACAACTTCTATGCCATGCGTGGCGCGGTGCCGGAGCTATACAAGAATCGTTTTGTGGGCGAGAAACAGCTCAACATCATCAAAACTGCGTAGGTTCTGTTATGACTAGAAATTTAGCCAGTTTTCATATATTTTGTATCCCTGCAGCTGCCTACTACGGCTACCCCAACCACTGCAGTTGGACGGTCCGCGCATACATATCTCACGCTATGGTCAGTATGATTCCAACAAGTATTCCATTGCGGAGGTCATGCAGGTTAACACCATGCTCGGCGAGATCCAAATAAGAGAAGATGACAATGCGATGGTCTGTGGTTTCGTGGAGATAATTGACATGAAGGGCATTACCACTGGCCACATGTTCCAATTCGATGCGGTGCTGATCAAGAAACTGGCCGTGCTGGGCGATAAGGCGCTGCCCTATAGACCCAAAGGTTTCCACTTTATCAATGCACCAACCATGGCCGAGAAGGCAATGTCCATAGCCAAGAGTTTAATGAGCGACAAGATACGCAAGCGGGTAAGTCGAGATAGCAATAACAAATCTTATGAATATATATATATATCTATAAATCCTTTTTAGTTCCATATACACTCTAAACTGGAAACACTTTATAAGCACGTGCCCAAGGAATGCCTGCCCATTGAATACGGCGGCACAAATGGCAATATACAGGATGTTGTCGATATCTGGACGCAAAAGCTGTTGGACTATACGGACTTCTTCCAGCAGGATGCGATATATGGTACAAATGAGAAACTGCGACGCGGACAGCCCATCAATTCCGAAACACTTTTCGGCATCGAGGGCTCCTTTCGCAAATTGGACATTGATTAGTTTATACATTTGATAGTAGTACATATTTTAACAATAAATAATTATTTTTTTAATGTCGTAGCAAAAGAAAAATCGATTAAAGCACAAACAACAAGTAGGTTAATTTAAAATAAGACAGACAAAAAAAAAAACCAAAATAATATTAACTGGGCAGTATATATAATGCATACGCAGTCGTAAGGGGCAAAGGCCAAGCAGAGCTGTCTGGAACAGCTTAAAGCTTAGCCCGGACTGGCTGCTTGGACTTTTTCTGAACAAATTCATAGGCCACATCATGATAAGGCTGGGCCGCATCGCGCACACGCTGCAACCATTTGGCCACCTTGGGAAACTGTCGCTCATTTACATTGTACTGGCAGAGCTCTGGAAATTATGATATGGCATATTAGTGAAGCCTAGCGGCGAACCTGTTGATACACTTACTCAGCTGTTCGATTTCGGAAGCGCCTAATAAATCGGCAACGGTCAGCTTATTTCCGACCAAGAACTCCTCCTTCATCCAGAGGTGCTCCAACGCACCCAATGAGCTTTCAACATCTTTCAAAAGCTTTTCGGCCACCTCTGGCTTAGGCTTAGCGGCCAGTCCATTGACGGGAAGCAGCCAGCCCTTGATGAAGTATGTGCCACAGGGCACACGGACATTTATATGCTGCCACTCCATGCACTCATCCACACGTGCACGTGCCTGCAGGCCTTTCGGATAAAGCTGTTCACTCAGTTGGTTTTTATCCGAGAGATAGCTGCAATGATGCAAGTTATTTGTATTATTTTCTGTTGACCTTTGGCACTTGGTGTGAAGACATACCGTATCATGGCCACGCTCTCGGATAGCTGGAAATCGCCATCCACCAGTGCCGGCACCTTCTGGAGGCGATTGATCTTTTTGTACTCATCGGTCAATTGCTCGCCTGCAACAACAACAACAACAACAACAAGAACAACGAAGTTCAGTTTGATTTGCCGGCCTGCGGCGTCAGGTGCAGTTGAACTCACGTTTGCGCAGCGCCACGGGGCAGTCTTCGAATGGGGTTTTACACAATTTGAGCGCCAGCCACAGTGCACGCGATGGCGGCGACAAAAAGTCATAATATAACTTAATAGCTTGTGCCATGTTGATGAATTGAACCGGACAAATTTCTTCGCGGCGATCAAATCAGCTGCGTTACAAAGTCCAAAATAGCCTGCTACACAACACTAATTCGTATTAAAGTCGTTTGTTAGCACTGCTATTGCGCGCCTATACAGCTGTCCCGCTCACACCTATAACTAGTTAAATAAGAAGTTGCGCGCTCTCAATGAAAATTTGAAATGCAGAGCAAAATATAATTTCAATGTAAAATATTCCTACATCTGAGCTGACATAATTTGTCATTTAAAAATGTCAAATTTTGTCATTTCAAATATGAATAAATGGATTTAGACGCTTAGTTTTAAACATTTTATCAGCAACCTTGCCTTCGCGTAAGCCTTTATCTAATGCATAGATAAAATCGCAACATAAATGCCAAGGTGCGACACGTCATCGGCGCTTATCAGCTTGTTATTTACACACGGTTACTATATATATCATGGTAAGAATAAATGAAAATATCAGTTTTGCGTTTCAAATGTATTTTGTTTGACATTTAAACAAATTCGCTTTAATTTATTAACGTACTCAACATGGGTCGCTACAATACACCGTCAATTATATATGTAGTGTGTATGTACTAAATATATATTTATATATTTATATATGTAGGTATGTTTAGGTATATGTATACATATGTGTAAACTAGTATCAAAAATTAGTAGAAACGACACTTAACGCAAAAATGATCGAAAAATTAGATATTTATATATGTATGTATATGTATTAAAATAAAAGCCAACAAGAACTTAGCATAGTATATAAGTAGAAGACGTCCATTGTAAGCAAAATGTGGCGAGAACGATTTTTGGGGGCGACTAATCGTAGACATGGGGGTATGTGCGTTGATAAGACCGACAATAAATTATAATCGACATTCATGAGGTTTTTGCCATTTGATGGCGTTTTTTGTTGTTTTTTCTTTCTTTCACTATTTTCTTTTGTTTTTAGTGCACTTTGTTTTAGTTGTAACATTGTTCAATTTGCTTTAGGTTTCGATGTTGCTTTCTATCAATTGTTATAAAATATCAGGTTCAGCTATGTCCAAAGTTCGCTGTAGTACATATATGGATGGGTTATGTACATATATATTTATATATATATATATATATGTATATGTATGTAAATATAGAGAGAGGTGTGTATAGTATGTGCATCTGAATATACAACTAACTGCCACCGCCGCTGTCACAGCCTCAATCAAAGGTCAGCTTGCGAAAGGTGCCGTCCTCATTGGCGGACCCGGCGACCAGTGTGGGGCGCTGCTCCTTCTCGCTGGCAGCCCGCAGCTTCTCGTCAACGCCAAAACGCTCCTCATCCTTGAAGTAATTCGTAAAGCTGTTCAGTTGCAGCTCATAGCGTGTGATGGCTTCGTTCAGTGAACCATTATTGCCGCCCAACTCCACCGGCAGATACTCTTTGCCGATGGCCTTGTACAACGACTCCAAATTGGGATGTATGTGCAGCTAAAGAAAAATAATTGAATGAAAAATAACGTAAGATCTTTTTTATATATTCTTTTTGCTACGCACCAGTTCCTTCTGTTTCATAACATTGCGGATTATGGTGAGCACAAACTGTGTTTCTCGCGAGGCATTCACAATGTGCGTGGCTACTAAGCTCGTGGGTAAACCATGCTCGAGGAAGGCATTCATGCGCTTGAACAAGCTGGGATCGAACTGCAGCAGCAACGAGTAAGGTATTTTAGTAAAATCAATAACCTCAACAACGCCAGCAATGTTCCAGTTGTCGTCGGTGTTGATCTCAATTTCAGAGCGGAAGGCATGGAAGCGAAAAATGTCGGAAACGCTATGCTTGGAAGTCTCTATGTGCCCCATGCGTGTGTAGTGGATACGTGGACCGCCTGGTCCAATGGGATTGGGTAGTGTAGCAAATATACTGCAAAATGATCAAATCAGAAATTCAATTATATTGTTAATGCATACTCTTGACGTTGTCTGAACTCACCCTGATCTGGCCAGCTCGAGGACCTTGTCATCTACCGAGCGACACTTGAGTAGGCTGCGTTCCTTGGACTTGTAGTTGTAGAAGAAGAGCACACGCTTTTTGGCTTCCTCCAGATCCCATTGACAGAAACGCAGAAATGCGACTAGAAACTGATCTTCGGTACGCGCCACCAGATAGTTCTGTTCATCGATCCAAGTACGCAGGGCCACAATTAACGCATCTCGGTTTGCCTCATCCTCGTTCAGCTCCAAGCGCGCCACTTCCGCCAGCTCTGGCACCAGCTCTCTTATTTTGGCCATAGTGTTTTGATAACTGCAAATTTGATTATCGAAACTTTAAGTAATTGTAACAATGTGTACTCCTGGCCAGAAAGGTGTTGGAGAGACTTGTGTGCTCTGTCTAGGTTCAAACACAACTAATAGCAAACTCGTTGCCTGCTTCGAGGTGGCCAGCACTTGGCAAACAAGTGTACACTAAACTAGCAGAAGCTACAAGGCGATATTGACATGGCCAATGTACAATGGGTCAAATCACTAAAATTTCACTTAAAAAAATATCAAGTAGTTGAGAGAAAATTTACTTAAGCGGCTATGCTCGTTCTTTTTATTTGTTATTTTTAACAAAAAATTCTTAAAGATATACGAACATCCTATTAACATCCCCTAATTAAACAAGCGTTTACGACCTTAAATTGGTACAACAACAAAATACGAAAGAATGATTTAGTATAAAACTTTATAAAATATAGAAAGATTGCTAAATTAGACAACATTCTATATAATTCTTCCCATCAAATCAAATTGACAGTTGATGCTTTTTAAATTTATTCAGAAGATGCTCTCAAATTTGAAGTATTTAATCTTTTCTCTTAATGCAATTTTCAGGAATTTAAAATAGGGTCTAATAAAAGGTAATCTAATTTAATTGATATACTTTTTAGTTAAAATAACATAGGGACGTAGCAGTTGCACAATAAGCTTTTCTATGCGCACATTTTGCCTGTGAAACGTGCAATTTGGTGTCACTGTGCAGCGACAGTTTGGCGATAAGATAAGCCTTTAGGCAGATATAACTGTAGCGTGGTTTGATTAACAGACAGATATCAGCAGGAACGAACTTTGCTATGCGCCTTTTGCAGCTGCATCGCCCCAGCAGCAATTCCAACTTCGTGGGGCACCGAAAAGCTATCGCCAACAGCTGCAATCATATTTTTGACGATTAATAATTAGCAAGCATGATTTTTTTCTTACCAGTTTTCTCAATCTAATCGATGGCAGCGACCTGTACAGTGAGCATTCAGAATGCAGCAGCACTCGAGAGCAGAACAGCGACGAGCATTATCAAATAGCCAAATGAATGGGCCCATAAAAGCGCAAGATTAGCGCCAACTGATTAAAGGCCAGAGGAGAATGGGCCAGTTTCAGTAGTCGCACAGTTGCCACGAGACACGGTCGAATTTTGGTCTAGATGCTGGTTATGGCCGACTTTGTACGTCCACTCAGCGCCGAGTTGCGCCACATTGCTGAGACGGAGCTAAATGAGGTGGCGGAACGTTTGCCTGCGGATCTGCAGGCTCTGCGGGATTGGCTGGCCAAGCAGCCGCATCTAAAATGCCGCCAGGATGCACAGTTTTTGGTTGCCTTTCTGCGCGGCTGCAAATTCAGCCTGGAGAAGGCCAAATCCAAGCTGGATCATTTCTATACCATAAAGAGCATGATGCCCGAAGTGTTCGGCAATCGTCAAATGGATGAGCGCAACATTGCGCTGTGTCGCACCGGGTAAGTCACAAAGTGCTGACCAGCTCAACATAAGCCATGCAACGTTCTCTTTATGCCACCAGCACATATGTGCGGCTACCCAAACCCTTTGGCACCGCCGGACCACGCATCACGCTAACGGATTACTCCAAATTCGATCCGAAGATCTTTAAAATGCTCGACCTGTTTCGCTATCAGACGCTGCTTATGGAGCGCCAGATACGCGAGGATGACAATAGCATTATCAGTGGCTACATTGAGATTATCGATTTGTCTCAGATGAGTCTCAGCTTTGTGGCCCAAATGGACTTTACGCTCATCAAAAAAATGGGCGTGTTTGCGGAAAAGGCGTCGCCTACGCGCATGAAGGGCGTCCATTTGGTCAACTGTCCCAAGGAGGCGGCTGCTGTGCTCAACCTGGCCAAGAGTCTTATGCCCACCAAGCTACAAAATCGAGTGAGTCGCGGGAAAGCGGGAGGTCGGGTTCCAATTTCACTCACTAGACGATAATTCAATGCATTTGTTATCAAACCCTTATCGTAGTTTACTCAGCTGTTCCAAACCATATTTCGTTCGATAAGCTGAAAAGCTCTTCAATCGCTTTCCAATTATAGAAAATCAATAATCGTTTCGATTAGCCCTTTTGTTACATGAACTGATATTCAAATAACCCCAATATAATTGAAGTACTAAGTTTGGGGAGTTCACAATTTCATTTAAGATGCGTAATGTATTCTTATCGGCAACAAATTAGTTTTACGACTAGACTGAACAACTGTCATAAATTAGTATTCCTTTAATCGGAAATTTTTAACCCGAATGTATTTTTGAGCAAACAAATAATTATTTCATGAGTGACAAGAACCAGAAGATATTCTAAAATAATCTTGATACCCGTATTTACTAGAAATGTACAAATTTTTTTTAGACCTGTTTAACTAGCTGATAAATCTAGAAATTTGTAAGTGGCTGCTATTTTCTATACACTATTTAATATTTGAAAATCCCAACGGTTTTTGGGAATTTTTAGTTTTTTTTTTATATTTTAGTTTGATATTTATTTCCACTTTATTAACTTTTATTCCTTTCACAGTTCTATGTGCACAAAAACATGGAGCAACTCTTCGAGATAATACCACGCGAATATCTGCCAGAGGAGTACGGTGGCGACAATGGACGCATTGGTGATATCATTGCCCAGATGGAGCAGGAGATGCTCGGCTATAACGACTACTTGAAGGAGGAGAACGATTACGGCGTTAACGAACAGCTGCGACCGGGCAAACGTCTAAGTCCCGACACGCTGTTCGGCATTGAGGGCTCCTTCCGTAAATTGGACATCGATTAGATTAGCTCACACCATGAACTGAAATTGAATGGGAAAAAAATCCCGAAATTGCCTTAACTTTAAATTTAATTAAATGCCAACGCAAACGGAACTCAAGCCATTCAATAAGCACAAGCTCTTTGGGGGTTGAAAGCGAAAGAGATGCCCTCTAGCATAGGTCTAAAAGGTAGCCCATTTATAGGGTAAGGAACTCAACCTTATGCAAAGGGCTTAAGGCACGAGGAGGATAAGCTAACTGATTAAGCATAAGGATCAGATTCAAGCTTGTCTAAAATGAGTGACAGGACTGGTGGCATTTTTAATAGTCTCCCACGCTGCACTGAAAATTAAAAAAAAAACTCCTTTGAAATATCACCCTTCTATGCGCTTCTCATAAATTCAAGTAAGGCTTACAGGTTTTCATGCTTTCATAGTAAGTGTAATAATATGAACAAATTGTTTAGACAATCTACTAAACTTTATGACCCACTATAGTTAACTTTTTTTTAAAATGTCGCCCTAAGAGTCTCACGAATTCAGGTAAAGCTTACCGGTTTTCATGCATCCATATTAAGTGTAATTTTAGCAAATTGTGTTGGCAATCTAATAAAGTTTATGGCTTTCTTTTTCATGCGCCCCTCTTCGCCTTGCTCGTGCTCCAACCCGATCTTGTTTGACTTTTTTGTGATGTCTGATATAATATAATAGTAAGCACTCTTATTCCAAAACTAACCCATGTAAATACTTTCAAATAGAGTGGCGATATTATACAACTGTTTGTTTGAGAAGCGCACAGAGAGGCGGCGCCTGATGGACAGCTTGCAGAGTTGTTTGTACATTACTAAAGGTAAATATCACCCACGTTGACACTCAACAAGGCGTCAAGTTCGTTAGCTTTTAGTGTGCGATATCAGTGACAAGTGTTAATAGCCTTATCTATCAGTTAAGTGAATTAGACAGGATCAATAAAAATGGTCATGTTAATTTGCATGTTAGACCAGCTGTCCAACTCAGTTGCGCTTCAGGCGTCGGCTAGTAAAGAACCAACATGACTGCATATAACTATAGCATACAGGTGAGTTGTATGACTAAATACTAAATATTATAAACATTATTAGATTTACTGCATACTACATACTATATCCTAGCAGTTTGACTTTAGTCAATGGGATTTTCCTGCGGAGCGCATTTGGCTGCACAAAGCGAATGAGGAGATTGCGTGGAAAATCATCTCGTTTTTGCCACTGATTATTTTTGGTTTATATGGAAACTACATATTGATCTATCTGATAGCCACGAATCGTGCACTGAGATCGCCAACGAATTTGATAATAGCCAATATGGCCATGGCCGACTTTCTAACCCTGCTCATTTGCCCTGCCATGTTTCTGATTAACGACTTCTATCAAAACTATCAACTGGGCTGTGTGGGCTGCAAGCTGGAGGGTTTTCTAGTGGTTGTCTTTCTGATCACAGCCGTACTGAATCTCTCGGTGGTCAGCTATGATCGGCTCACAGCGATTGTGTTGCCCCAGGAGACGCGCCTAACGCTGTGCGGAGCAAGAATTGTCATCGCTGGCACCTGGCTGGCGGGGCTGTTGCTGGCTCTACCCTTGGCCATTTATCGGCAGTACAGGGTGCGTATTTGGCGAAACTTTACGGAACGCTACTGCAAGGAGAATATGACTGTGCTGCCCAAGTACTGGTATGTGCTGATCACGGTACTGGTTTGGCTACCACTGGGCATTATGCTCATCTGCTATACGGCCATATTTGTAAAGGTAAAAACTTGGAATATATACGATTATGGCTTCACGCTTATAACCACTTTTCAACTTTCAGCTGGATCGCTATGAGAAGCGCGTCTTGAGTCGTGAAAATCCACTCAGTGTGAGGTATAAGCGCAGCGTGGCCAAAACGCTTTTCATTGTGGTCATTGTTTTCGTGTTGCTGCGTTTGCCCTTCACAATTTTCGTGGTGCTGCGCGAAAAGTATTACAGCACCGAGTCGAGCGTGGATTGTGGCATGAAGTACTTTTCATACTTTTCGCAGTATCTCATATTTGTCAATGCCGCCGTCAATCCCATCATCTATGGCTTCAACAATGAGAACTTCAGACGTGCCTATGCACAAATCGCGTGTATGCAAAAACGCAGAGCTGCCAACGCAAATCGTATACATCATTGTTTGTATTGTGATTTCATTCAGAATAACAAGTCTGGACAAGCGAATGCCGAGCAGAGATCGGACAAGGAGATATCACAGTCTGCGGCTAGAGAAACTAAAAAGCTGGGGGCAACATCCAATATCGATGAGACTCTCATGCCGCAGCTTAAAGGCGAGGGGTTTATTTAAAGTCTCATTTTTTTTTGGTTTTTAAATACGTTCATAAGGTCTTCTATTCAGGAGTATACCAATAATTATCTCTTTTTGTCATAATTCAAACGATTATCATAAGAATTCTAAGTAAATGCCCTTCCTAGGCTGATTACTTTGACAAAACTCAAACAATTTTCCAAGAGAAACATTAATTTGTATGAGCTACTATCTGACTTAATATAATTTTGTTTGGAAACATTTTGAAATTTTTTATGATAAGAGAACTCTTAAAATCTAAATCAACTTCAAATACTTTTTAATTTTTCACTTATTTGGCGCTCAAAAAAGGCGCAGGTATTTCAAAACTTATCGACCCGAAATTGTAGCGCATCTGCACAGCTGACCATGATCAAATCCGCAAGAAGAAGGTTTCATACATTCCCTCTCCCTGTCGCTCTCATGGAGTTGCTGCGCTCATTCAACAGCAATTGGAGCTTTCGAAACCGTTTTAAAAGCTTCAGGTCTATAGTTAGGCGTACGACTGGGCTGTTTCAGCACGTGTTTAGCTTTGTTTCAATTAAGTATGTGTCGTTTAGTATATGTATTAATATTCGTGTGGCTAGTATGGAGGCATGGCCAGGCATTCGAGGTGCGCTTCGAGGAGAGTTATCCTGGTTACCGCATCGGCTCGGACCTGGACGCGGAGTCGCAGCGCCTGCACAAGCGCGAGATGCAGCAGTTTTTCGACAAAGGTTTAACGAAATACAAAAATGAAACAATCAAATTTTATTTACAGTCGATTTGAAAAAGACGCAGAAAAGCTCAGGCTAAACCAAACAACTCAGATTTCATATAGCCCGTGCCATGGGCCTCCAGAAACTTGATGAACTGGCCCATGTTTATGACGCCCTCCTCGCCATCGGCGGCATTGAACAGCTGCTCGGTGAAGTTCTCAAAGCGGCGCTTGCGGCAGGTCTCGGTTCGCACCAGGCTGATCTTTTGCCAGCGCAGGGCTTTGATGCTTCGCCAGTATTCCTGCACTTGCTCCGGCTCGCCCTCAATGCAGATTATGCCCGGCTTGCCGGGTCTGCTGAAGCCGCTCAGCTCCAGCTGACGTGCTTGCCGTATCAGCTCCTGCCGCTTCATGCTCGACTTGATGTGATGCGAATAAATCCAAAGGCGCTCCAGCTGTGCTGTTCTAGGCTTTTCCTCTGCCGACTCGCGCTCTAGTTCGCTGGTCGGACGCAATATCAGCGCTTCAATCTGATCTTGGAGCCAGCTGAGCAGCTGATATACATAGGGCTCTTCGGCTTCACGCTGATCCGTCAAATAGTTAGCAATTTCCAGCTTTAGATGCTGCTCCTTTATCTTGTCCAGCAGCGTTGTATGTACACTAATCCTGGCCAGCTCCAGCTGCGGATACAAATGCGGCAGCTCAATGCGCACATCCACACACTCCTTGGCTGGCAAGCTAAGCCGGATGATATACTCCAAATTGGAGCGCAGCGGCGTCTGCGACTCCGTTTGCAGAAACTCATTGAAATCGGCCACGACGCCGGCGTCGAGCAGCTGCAGTTCACCAGCAGCGCAGTAAATGGAACTGAGCAGCTCCAGCTCCTCCAGCTGCTGGCCAATGCAGCGTCGATAGGCCTGCAGATCCATGGCCAATGGCTGGCGAAAATTGAGAGAGAGTTGTTTGGTTTAGTCTCGGCCGACGCATTGACAGCCTAAAGTCTAAAAATTGAAAGCTGGTTACTTGAAAATTTATAGAGCTCTAAGTAAGGTTCAAACTAAAAGCTCTTAGCGAATGTAAATGGTATATAAATGATACTAATATATACTTGTCTACCAATGGATGCTAGAAAACTTGGGATAATATGTAGCTAGTCGACGAGTGTATAAATTTAACAGTGCTCCAATGAGTGTCGGGAGACCAAGACCAAGAGATACCCCGAGCAAGCTGCAAACACAAACTTGCTAGCTTTCTTTTATACAAAGTTGGTGCGTCGGTGCTTATTGCCCGATCTTTGTGAAATTTTAAGGGCTTTACAATGTCACTTAAATAATAAATCGCATGTTTTATTTTGAATTTAAATTTAAATAAATAAATTTAGTTTGAATGTACTTTACGAGAGCATACATATTTTCCGATTTCAACAGTGCTTTGATAGAAGGATATTAATTACAATCATTTTTAAATCCAAATATTTATAAAACCAACTATTCCAAGAGTGGATCCAGTGTATTATATGCCCATTACCCTTTTACCCAACTCAGCCGCCTACAGTTTTAATGGCCTAGAGCGTGTTGCCTCTGTACCCGTGCCCTTTCCTCTGGACATCTGTATGCTGCAATTGCCCACAGTGAAGTATGCGACAACTCTGCACAAGGATGCGGCGGGTGTGCGACATTTTGCCGTCTTCGTATGGCGCGCGGTGGAGCAGGACTATGCGCTTTTGCTGCAGCAGCCGGCGCCTAAGGCGGTGGCCCTGGATTGCCTGGCATATGCGGGTCTGGGCTATGTGGCGCTCAGCTATAATCACACCGAGCCCGTGCTGCAGGCGCGTGACGGTTCGCCCATCTATGAGCTGTCGCCGGAGCGCGGTCTGCGCACTGTACAATATTTTGCCGGTTTGCGATTGCGGGGCATGTATTTAAGGATTAGCAGCCAGGAGCTGACACTGCTGCAGGCCTACGATGGTGGCGCCCAGACGGAGCAGCAGCGATGTCCCTACTTCAAGTGGACGAGCGGCACATTTCAGCGCCTCGGCGCCATACCCTGCAGCAATGCCCGCCGGCTGGAGGCCTTTGGCATTGACTATGCCGACTATGTGGCGGTGGCCAATTATGCGAACCCCGATGGACGCACCTCCACGCACTCGGAGATCTACAAATACGATGCGACAGCACGTCGCTTTCAGCTGTTCCAAAGACTGCGCAGCCATGGTGCCGTCGATGTCAAGTATTTTAGTCTGCCGGTGAATGAGGTGACTCGTCGACACTTTCTCATATTGGGCAATACGGTGGCTGCGGGAGGGGACGGCGATGGCGATGGCGAGGCAGATACTGTGATCTATGTCTATGATAATGGACAGTTTGTGCCCTATCAACGTTTGAGTTTCTATGCACTGGAACGTTTTTTGCCCGTGACGGTAAGTATTAAACACAATGGCTGTCAAACTGTTATATACTATTTATGCCTAGGACAAGTATGCTGTTTTGCAAGCAAAACGGTGTTTTGCATATAAATCCAACAAAAAAAAATATATATATATATATTCGATATATTATCGATCAATTTGCTCATTTAAAAACAAAGTCAATAACGGCATACGCCACCCAAAAATAATCAGGTGAAATTAAATCACGCGTTTCCGTTCACTTGCAGCATGCGGTTTCGGAAAAGTTTCTGCTCTTTGTGGCCTGCAACAAGCAGGATGTAAAAATCTACAATCTCAACGATTGGAAATTCGAGGAATCAACAGTGCAGTTCACCGAAGGCGCATTCAGCAGGGGCGTGGCACGCATGCGCAGCTACGAAGAGAACGAACAAAGCTTTCTGGGTGAGTTATTGTGAAACCGATCATTAAAATCGATTTATTACTTAGCCCCCCACACTCAACAGTTATTGCCAATGAAAATATGGCCGCCAATGAGACAAACATATTCCAACCGCTCTACAAACAGGACGAACATGCGAATGTTCTGCGTCAGGAAATTATAGAATGGGCACGCGAGCAGACTAAAAGATTGGAGCAAGTGAATGTGGAGCATTTATTGCTGGGTCTGCAGGTAATTTGGAGATTGCATCGCTTCAGCACCCAAATTGATCAAATGTTATCCCACAGCAAAAACTCAAAGAACGGAAACAACAGAGAATGCATATCAAGCGTGTGAATACCAAGTCGGTGAGTGGCAAATAATATAAGTTATATAATTATAATTAAAACAGGGCTAAAACAATACAAAAAATATACCATGAACCCAAGTTAATGGCCGATTAATAATAACTAATGGAAGGCAATAATAGTTTCAATTGATCTTAACCCACTCCGTAGCTAGTCGATGGGCAACAAAAGCTAACCACAAACTATTGGGATGCTCTGCGTTATGCGAAACGTGCTCTAGATGTGATCGAACAGGATGCAGCTCAGGCTCAGCATCATCCTGTCAAGCGGGATGCCTTGGAGCAGCCAAAAGAGCAGCACGAGTTCGATGAGATAACAGTGGGCACTTTGGTGGTGCATGAGAGGCTGCGGGCGGAGCAAGTTAATGGAGTGGAGAGCCATAAGCCCATCTACGAGTCGGTCAATGCCAGCAAAGTGTATGTGAGCGAGGAGTACAGGGAGGCAGCCACGGATCAGCTTGTGCCCGAATTGGAGCAGCTGAGCGTGCAGGAGCTGCAGCTAGCAGGCAAACTCAATGGCCACAACTGGACACAGCTGCTGGAGCAAACGCTCAAGCGTCGAGGCAGCGAGGTGCAATTCGTCAAAGCGCCCGTGGACATAAGCAACCTAAAGGCCGAGGCGGTGCGGGTCAACAGCAATGAAATTAACGACCGGCCGCTGGGTCAGCTTGTCTCCATCGATGGCGGCGACTACATTGTGCAGCAGGATGTACAATTCGCACAGCCCATCGAGGTGAATCGGCTGCTCATCAATCAGCGTCTCAATCAGATACACGTGGATCGCCAGCGTTTCGACGTGCTGCTGCACCAGGCGAATCACACCCAGGTGATCGAGGGTACCAAACGTTTTCAGAATATAAAAGTGCTGGAGCCCATCACGATTGCGGTGAGTGCAGAAATCTTGTTCTAATTACATATAAAACTCGGTTAAATTATAATTTCCATTCACTGCCAAACATTTATGGGACAATTATAAAATAATATTGGGAAATTAACATGGGAAATTATTCGTTTCCGCATTGGGAGAAAATTTACATGAAAGTTCCCCTCCTTTTAGTCATTAATGTTTATGGTATCTAACGAATCTTTACACATTATAAATTTCAAACAAATTACGTTAACGTTTTTTATGACGCGTTTATAAAAAGGGAATTTAAATGGAAAATCAATGCCCTGTGGTCATTCCTTGAATGGTGTTGAATGTATAAAAGAAATGTGTGAGCAATTCACATAGAATGGCACATTCATAAATAGGAAATTCACAAGGGAAATTCACGTTATTTGGGTAATTAAATAAGGGAACGTGAAAGTTATATCCCAAATGCTTAGACAAATGACTTATGAAATATTTTTTATGAAAATGCATATATGTATAATTTATTACTTGGTGATGCGTATATTCCCCAACAGGGTCAATTGCTGGGCACTGAGCTGCTCGCCATGTCGCCCATGAAGGTGACACATGAGGCGCTGCAACTACAGGGCGACTATGTGATCGACGGAGATGTGACCATTGGTGATCTGCTGCAAGTGCAGGATGTGCGTGATGCAGTCACACAGAGATCAGCGGCCGTGATCTTGCAGCAAGCGCTGCGTGTGGATCAACCTTTAGAGAATGTGAATTTACGCTTTGAGCAACCGCTTAGCGCTAACGACACCCAGTTGAGCTTCATCAATGCGCAGGATATGCAGGAGCTGGTGCAGCTGAATGTCGAGCAGGTACAGGTGATTGAGGGCGTCAAATTTCTGCCCCAAAGTCTAACCATACGCGATGGCTTCGGCGAGGTCAACATACTGAATGGCATCGATGTGGAGCAGCTGCCGCAGCTGCTGCTGCTCAAAAGTAGCAATCAAAGCTTGAAATTTCCCATGCAGCTGGTCGGTCTGGAGGCGCCGCAATTGAATGCCAACCAACTGCTGTTAAATGGTCTGGATTTGCTGGAATATATGCGACACAGCGGCGAGCAGCGCTCCAATAATAGCTTGTACGTGGAATACCTTCAAGCCGAGCAGCTAGACGTGGATCAGCTGCACATGCATGGCAGCATTTTTGGCCACACTTTGGACGAGCTCTTTCAGCAGGGCGCACAGCGACCGCACAGCTGGCAACTGCCGGCGCATTTCAATGGCACCATCCACGCGAGAAACGTGTGGCTCAAGGGGCACATAAACAACGCGAGCGTCGCCCAGGTGGAGCAACAGCTGCAGCAATTAGCGGGCAATATTAAATACGTGGGCGACTTCACATTTAGACATGCGGTCAACATAAGTGGCCTCAGCTTTGGCGACACTCTGAACGGCATCGCAGCTCCCAGATTGGGAAACTGCTGGCTGGATAACAGCGGGAAGCCGCAGCAGTTTACAGCACCACAAACCCTGGCGGCTGTCGCAAGCGATAAGGATGTGCTGCTTCAGGGTCGCCTTAATAACTTTACGCTGGAACAGCTGGTCAAAGGCAGTTACAGGTTGAATGGTACGGAACACCTGCAAGCGGTTAAATTTGGTAAGTACCAGGACTTGTTGAGATATGTGCAAGTACCCTTAACGAATCGTCTAATCGTCTTGCCAGTTAATCCCATTGTGTTGCAACAATCACTGAGCGTTGGTCGTGTGAATGGACTGCGTGTGCCGGAGGATATGCTGTATGCACAAGGCGGCGGCATGCTGCAAGCGCCGCTCAAGATCAATGGTCAGTTGTTGGCGTCGCCGCAGCAGTGCAATGTGAGTAGCCTGAATGGCTTTCAGCTGGACGCACTGACGCATTACCTGAATGGTGGCTATGACATGCTGCACGTGGAGCAAGCACAATTTGAGATGGCGCCCAAGTATGAAAAACTAAACGGACAAAAGCTGCAGCAGTTGCTCAATGATGTGTGGCTGGACAATGAGATGGTTGAGCTGAAAGCTGTGCAACTGGCAAACGCCAGCTTCGAGGGATTGATCGAGTTTGAGGTGAGCTAAGCGGAATTATTGCGCTGGCAAACAGTTGTGAAACAATTGCATTGCAGGGCACACTGAATGGCTTGGATGTGGAGCATGTCGGTCGCAACTATTTTAGCCGTACGCGCAGTCAGCTTCTCAATGTGGCATTCAATTTCAACCATGACGTCACTTTTGCACAGACGCTGGCCGCCAAGCAAGTACAGCTACGTGTTAAAGATGGCGCACTTGTTGAGGGCATAGGGTAAGTGGTTTGCAAAGACATTGACTTTAATTGGTATCATGTTTCATTGCATTTGTTTACGCGCTAAAAGCAGTTTGACATGCACTGCATACACACACGCACACACACACAGTATACGTAGACAGCTTTCCCCACCCCGCCAACACCTAACGCTGTCACACACACACACACAAGGTAAAATCAGCTGTGCGCGCTACTGTATGCAGGTGAAATTTCTGTACACGTTGCAATTGGCACTGAATACAAGCACTGTTTTTAATTTGGGCTTAATGTAGATTTTACCTTAGTTTTGTGGATGTTCAAGTTTAAATTAAATGCACTTTCTATGGGCAGGCACAATATTCAAAGTTTCGACACTTCACGAGAAGAAAAACAATAAAGTGACAGTACCAGGGCTGCCAAACAAATGATGGCACTACAGAAAAATATTGAACTATCGAAAGTATCGATTTGCTTATGCTCAGAGTAACCGTATATTGGAAGAGGCAGGCTGTTATTTTTAAATGTTGAACAATTACCTATATATGTATGTGTTATGTTAATGAGCTCAAATAATTTAATCAGGGTATTCGCAACTGCTCAAATTCGAAATTTTTAAAAAACTTTCAACAGCAATGCGTCGTTAAATTTTGACGATTTCGTGGCAAACACCTTAAAAACTGCTGGACCACACATCATCACTGGCCAATGGAGCTTAGCGGAAGCTCTTGTATCGGGCGATTTAAATAATGTGCTCATAAATCAATTAAATTTAGTCGATGACGTTCTGCGCAACGATACCCAGGGCGTTACCTTGTTAGATGCAACTAAAAGAGCTGCCAGCGCCACCATAAAACGACTCTTTGCAACGCCCACTAGCACAGTGGCAAATGTGCCTGTGGCACAGTGGATCAACGATACGGTGTACATTTATGGTAATCACAGCATTGCCGGCACAACAATACTGGAAACCTTGAATCTCTACAATGATCTGCGCGTTAAGGGTCCAGTTAATGGCATCCACTGGCAAGCAGATCAGCTGCTGTTATGCGATGGGGAGCAGCATATCGCTGGCTCGCTGCTGGTGGAGAATGCGCTGCCGGAGCAACGGCGCATACTGAGCAGCAACATTGAGGAGCTTTGGGTTGATCGTATCAATGGACTGACTGTGAACGAGCTATTGGCAAACAAGGCGCACAATCGTCCAAATCTGCATGTGGCCAGTCACTTGATCTTCACGCAGCCGCTGAGCGTGGCCAACTATGAGCTGGGCGAGATGCCACTCGAAGGCTACAAGTGGAAACGCGCGACAAATGCTGTAGAGAATTGGCAGCAGCTGAATGCCCATGTGGCTGCAGTGCAGCAGCGTCTAGCGGGTAAGACAACCACATATATTTCAATGCAACCAGTTACTCATGAATCCCCCACAACAGCGCCCGCTTATGTGCTGGAGAGCTTTGAGCTGTTGCAACAGCTGCCACTAAATGCCACTAGGCAGTTGGAGATGATGCCCGGGCAGAGCTCAAATACGGATGTGCTGGCCATTTGGCATGGCAACAACAAGGAAGCGCTGAAAATGGAAGTCTATGCCTGGCAAGACCAAGAGCGGCAATTCAAGCACAATGCAAGTAAGTGAGCTATAATGCGTCTTTATTTATCATATAATTTAATGAAATGGTTTACGAACTTATTTACTAAAGTCTATGAATGAATTTGGTGAATGGAAGGGGTAGATGGCTGGGAATATTTACGTTTAAGCAAAGCGCCTCGTAATCCTGGCAATACAGCTTATAAAATCACTTTAATTTATATATTTATATTAATATATAAATATAAAATAAGATCTGGGCACTTTGCATAAACGTAGCAATTTATAATTAAAATGCGTAGCTTACACGAGTTCTTAGAAAAACATATGCTTCTTACACTTAACTATTGTTGCTTAGGTCATATTGTTGCCAATAGCTGATGCTTGTGCGCCAATTAAAGAGTAAAAGTTAGAAATTCGAAAGCTGCTTGTTCAGTTTACACGTCTCAAATAGCTGGCGAAGTATGCCTAAAATTAATAGAATAAGTCATTAAATAAATGTTGAAACTAACCCTAGTTGAAGAGGAGCATAGTTAAATATTTTAAAATCTGCTAAAAAATTATACATATATATTTCTTGAATATATTGTATTTTTCCGTTTGTCCGCCGAATGTAAACAGGCTCGTGTAAACGCAAATAATATCGTTAATTAAACGGCTCTCTACTAGACTATCTCTAAAAAGGGGTTTCTTCTGTTTCTTTCCGTCAATCTTTATCAAGTTGTTACTGCTCCAGCTCATCGCTTTGCACGTCCACAATGGCACGTAGTATGCCCAGCTCCAGTTTGGCAGCGGCGCGTTGTGAGATTCGATTCATCACATTGGCCACATAGAGACCGAGTGCCTCATGGCGCGTTGAATTGCATAGATTCTTGAAGAAGGTCGGCGGCAGCGAGTTATCAAAGTTACCCAAATTAATAATTTCCGCTGTGTTATGGGAGCCGGCATTCACTTTGCTCGAGTCAAATATGATTTCGTTCTTAAAGTCCAGCTCCTCGAGGTGCGGAGAATACCCATTGGTGCTGGCCACCGATGTGGAGGCCATTGTAGCCCCCGTCGAAGAGTTGGCACCGCCGCCACCGCCGAGATTGCCGTTCAGCTGCTGCGAAGCGGCAGGTATGGTTATGATGTTAATGCCCGGCGGCGGTGATTGATTGCTCTCACGCTCTTTCTTCACCTGCAGTAACTGAGCGGTGGTCGTGTGCACCACATTGGCTGGGGCAGAAGTTGGAGTTGAAGGTTCAGTAGCAGCAGCAGCAGCTGCTGCCTGGCTACCCTTGGGGCTAGTCTGTGTTTTCTGGAGTTTCTTTTGTGATGCCGAACTGGCGCACTCATCCGACAACTTGCGCTTCATCGAATCGGGAAGTTGGATGGTGGTGCGTACGGAGGCCGTGGAGGCCTTATTGCTGTTCGATTGGTGTTGTTGCGCCGTTGCCGCTGCCGTGGATTTATGTCCAGCTGCGACGCTGCTCGGCGTCTTTTTCAAGGTAATGCCCTTCTTTTGAAGTGCCGCTGCCGCCACAGACACAGCATTGGCCTGTGAGTTGGTCTGTGAGCGTTGCGGATTGTTGTTGGCCATGGTATTGAGCAGCTTCTTCTCCTCGAATGCTGGACGTGGCGTGTCCACAATGGGCTTAGCGTATGGTTTATCCTCTTTTTCGGGTGTGCCGCCACCAGTGCTATTCGATTTTGTGGGACTGTCGCCATCCGAGCTGGCTGAACCAGTGGAATTGGTTGGCTGGCCATATTGTTGCCGAGTCGTAGTGGCAGAGCTATCATCGTCATCTTCTTCCTGCTCCTGCACCTCCAGCATTTCATACTCCTCCACTTCCTCCATGGGCAATTGCTCACTTTGCAGGCAGGGCAAAAGAAATTGTTAATATATAAATATTTAAGCAATTACTTTGTGTACTCACTCTTCGGTTTTGACTACCGTCTTGGGCTCCTGGTGGATTTTTTGCATGAGCCCAAACAATTTCCAGCCAGAGTTACCTTTCAGTTTCTCCTGCTCATATTTTTTTTGCAGCACTATGAAAATGGAGCGCGACTCGTGCACAGTCAGCTTGTTGAGGCGGCCAATGCGCGCCCAGGCGTCATCCTGCTCCTGTTTGGTGGCACTGGCGTTGTTTGGATGCAGGGCCTTTTCCTTGGAAATGTCCGCCAGAATCTTGTCCAGCTGTATAGCCATTTTAGTCAGCGACTTTCGGCCTGCGTTTTGAGCGTTTTTAATAATTTTGACGGCGTTTTTATGACCACTTTTTCACTTAATTTTTGGCCCTGCCGCTCTTTTCTAGCGTTTGCGCTGTTTCTGCTTCGTTTTGCAACTTCGCTTTTTCACGTATGCGGCGTCTGCTGCGACGCTGATTTGGCGGAAAAATAATTCGATGTTCTATACACGGTCAGACAAGATGGCTCACCACGGTATGCTCAAAGCGAATAGCATTGTTTTAATCATACGTATATAAACATGATATTTTATTATTTATTTATTTAACTTTACTTAAAACGTATTTGACTCATTCAAACTACTTTAATATTTATTTTATTAGTTGTTTTGGGCGACGATAAGCTAGGCACAGTAAACAGAAAACATGTCATGCAGACTGAACGTGTTTGCTTATCACAACATATTCAAAAGCAAATGCAAAAACTTTGCATCGTTTTACAGCACTACTGAACTAATAAAAACAGTTCAAAAGGAAATGAATAAAATTTGCTTCTAATTACATTTATTGTTTATATTTACGCAAATATAAACCAAATCTTACAATCCTACCACATTTACAACTGTCTCAGACGGCAAACATTTAACTGTCTTCACAAGCACAGCTTGCGCCGGGCTGCTAACAACAAATGGAAACTCCGGCATGCCGTAACAGGCAGCTGCATAATTTCCCAGACGATTCACAGCGATGACAGCGCCAGAAAAATCCTTATGATAGTTTATAATACGTCTTATAGCCACATCGACGGCCGCCTCCGGTGTCTTGCCCGCCCGCATGGCCTCCACGGCCAGCAGCGAGGGCAGAAAACGCATCATAATGTCCCCATCGCCGGTGGCTACGGCGGCGCCAACTTCGTTATCCGCATAACTGCCGGCACCGGCAATGGGTGAGTCGCCAACGCGGCCGGGTATCTTGTTTCGAGCTCCATTTGTAGAGGTACCCGTGTGTATATGGTGGTCCACATCAATGGCAATCATGCCGATGGTATCGTGATGCTGTTGCCCCATCTTGTACTCGGTGCGAGCGCGATCCTCCTTCCAGCGCGTTAGAGGTGTTGCCTTGGGAACGTAGGGACCACAAGAAAGCTTAGGATCGGGATTAACGTTATGCCAGAAATTTGGTTGGCAATTCTCAGCCTTCCACTCCTGCCACATAGCTCTCGACTCGGGCGTCACCAGTGAGTCAGTGCGGAATCCCATAGCCACAGCGAAATTTGTGGCACCTTGTCCCACGAGCATAGTGTGCGATGTGCGCTCCAGCACAAACCTGGCCACACGTATGGCGTCCTTAATGCCTATCAAACCAGCCACGGCGCCCACATCCATGTTAGAACCATCCATGACCATAGCGTCCAAGGTAGTATCGCCCAGCTCATCCGGCGAACCACCGTAGCCGACGGTGCCATCGCATTGCATCTGCTCGCACTTGGTGCAGCCCTCCACGACGGCGTTTCGTGTCTGCCTCAGACCGCCCTCCGACTGCTTGAGTATGCGCCAGGCCAGCGCATTTGCGTCTCTGAAGTTCCATGTATTGATCACCATTGGTAACAGGGAACCCGATCCGCTCGATTGTGTCGTGACGGCAGACCTCATTTGTTTGGTCGTGGCAACTGTGGTGAAAGACGGCTTTGTGCTAAAGCCTCGAGCGGAAGTCGTCTTGGGGCTGGTGCTGGTCGTGGTTGTGGTTGAGCTTGGCTTCTTGTAGCTCCAACCGGAGGGCAAGACGGCCATGCACACCGCGGCACAGCAAATCAGCCAAAAGCATATTTTTAGCATTCTCAATGTGTATTCACTTGTTGTCAACTTTATTTTATTTGTCCGATGGTTCTTCACTGAATGCACCTGCAGTCGATGTGCCTGTGCTTTTAAACGTAGCGTAGGAGCCGCCCAATGCAAAGCATAACCTCACTTTTGTTTTGTTTTGGCTTATCTTGGTTGTGCTTATGCCCTGTCGCTATGCATTACGCAGGGTATATACGACTTGCAGTAAACTTGCTGTGCTTCAATATAAATATGTATTTTGACAAAAACAAATTTATAACAAGTTAAGTTACTGATTTTTTCAATAAATATAAGAAATAACCAAAAGCTAGCATATCTAGCACGCCATATATACATATACAGCACAGTTTATAGGGTATAGTTGAGTTGCACATACAGCTGGCTTATTGTTTCTTTTCTTTTCAGGCCTAACAAAAAGATTGCAACCCCATGAGAAATTTGCTGAGCAGTCGAACACAGTTTTTGCACAGATTAGCAACGGCGCCACGTTCCGTAGCCCCTTACGTTTAATGTTTTTAGACTGTCTGGCGCTACAAAAAGAACTGGAAGAACTCGTCATCTACTGCCTGGCCAATAGTAGCATCAATAGCACAATCTGGCGCCAGGCCGCGATACCAACTGGACGCGTAAAACAGCTGCTGCCCGTTGCTGATAATATTGGCTCTGCTCTGGCCCTGCTCGTCGACAACTCTGTCGAGTTCTGGCGGTGGACAGTGGACGGCAGCTCCAAGTTGCAGCAGCGTCTGCCGCTAATGCAGGCTGAGCGAATGGCGCTGGCGCGTTATGAGAACCGTTATTACTTGGCCGTCTTGAGTGCAGCCCCAGCAGCCGCCCTCCACATATACAGGCAAGTGCTGACAGTTTAGCTATTTTCTAGCTTGATTTGTGCTATTTAGCTATTGTGCTCAGATTACTAATCCAGCTGTTTTAAACATAACTAAACTAATAATTATCTTCCATACTGTACAGTGCCGACAATAGCAACGCCTTGGATTATCACCTGGAGCAAATATTTGAATTGGACGAGTCGCCGCAGCAGCGTCGGCTGCTTTTTGTACATCTACACAAATCCAAAGATCTGCTGCTTTGCTTGTCCAATGCCGCTGCCACGCAAGCCCTGCGCATTTATCAGCACCTGGGCGTGGCAGGCTTTCAGCCGATCCTCAGTGAAAGCACGCTGCCTGCCGCTCAGTTCTTGCAAACGCTGGAGCTGCCAGTCTCGCAAAATACGGTCTTGGCACTAGTCAATGGTGAAGGCGTCTTTTTGGTGGAACCTCAGTTCACAAAGCTTTAAGTCAACAAATTGTATATTACGGTTTATTAATTATTTTTGATATAAATGTACTTCAAATAATTTTGTACTAATTAAAATCATTGCCTGCTCCAGCTATGGGTGAGCTGAATGTACTTGGTGTTCTACGTCTACGGCTACCATTCCTATGGTATCGTGATTATCCGGCCCAATATTGTATTCAGTTCGGTTGCGTTTCTCATGTACGTGTGTAAGCGGCTTGTAGGGACCACGCAAGAGCATTGCGGGCCATCTCACATAGAATGCGCCATGCCTCCACTGAGGCATTGGCAGGAGTTGTTCTTCTTCATTTGCTATACCCTGCGTCTTAATCTGAATTCGAGATTGGTTCTGGTGCGGCTGCCTTTGACAGTGCTGTACAGCAAAGTAGTCAGATGAATGTTTCAAGCATTTTAATTGATTTAATTTCAGATTATTTAATGTAAGCTTGTTGCTATTTGATCATCTGGCCCAAACGTACTCCCAACTAATCCTTACGTACCCTGTCGACAAGTAGAACACATTTAACTTTCAACTTTAGCAAATCCTTAACATGCCAAAGGCTCCTACTGTACAAATCCAAAAACCAAATCTAATGCAATTAATTTCTGCAGGTTTATAAGTTACAAGCAGCTCAACACGAATCGTTGGCAATTGCCATTGGCATTGGCATCCAGTTGGTGGCGTCGACTTACATGATTTCTCAAAAGACGATTTCACAGATTATTCAAAGGTTTAATTATTTCTAAATAAAAATTACTTTTTATTAACGTTTTTTTTTTGTTAGCGGCGTAAACTCTTTAGGTATTTGTGTTTCTCATTAGTTTAATCGTCGCTGGACTCAACGTTCTCCGTTTGCAAGTTCTTGAATGTTGGCACAGGCACGTACGTGACCAGTGTGTACAGTTTGTTGGGAGAATCCTCATCGTCATTGCGGCGACGCGCTAGACGGACACGAACGCGGAAGGGCGTTGATCTGTAGCGTAAACAAACGATATTAGATTGGGCATAAACGATATAAATATACGCGTGCTACTCACCTGATACCCTTGGACCAGATGTGCTTGTTGAGGCGGGTATCGATGCGAACATCATTGGTGCCCATCTCGCGCTCGGCAAACTTGCGGATCTCCTTGATGGCGCGCGGCGCACGCTTCTTGAAGCCGATGTTGTGCACACGCTTGGCCAAATGAATTGTGCACTCGCGGGTGACAACTTCGTTGATCGCCGACTTATTGCGTTTCTCGCCCTTGGTCTTTGCCATTGCTATTGCTATTCAATATCCTATTGAATAAACGGAAAAACCATTCGATTAGATTTAAGTTATCAAATAATACTACGGCATACAGCCCAATCAAAACACAAGAGCAATTTTTAGACGCCATTTAAACACACATAGCACTGCGACTGCCATAACATTTTGGTGGTTAAGTTAAGCATTTAATGTGCCGTATACAATTTCATACATTTCATTGCATTTATTTTGGCATAAATTGCGATGTTTTCTGATTATATTTTGGGTAATATGCAAAAACCCACCTATAGGAAATGAAAGCTTGACGTAAAAGAATTTGACAGATGCCTAGTGCTGTCAAAGTCAGAGAACAATTAGTGTTGGTAAATAGTCGCATACAACCCTGCATATGACAGCCGGCCCTGCAGCTGATGTTGGCATGTAAATAAACAATGCTTGCAATTGCATGTAAAAAATGTTTACATTGTTTATGTGAGTTAAATAACAATAATTTCCAATTACTTGCAGTGCAACTACTGACCGTTGGCCTGCTGTGGGGCGTTACGAATCCATTTATACGCCTAGGAAGTCAAGGCATTGAGTCTGTTAAGGACACAGGCTCCAGGTATCGAAATTTTCTTGCCGAGCTGCGGATGATTGGCTCCCGCCTGCATTACTGGATACCATTTGGGCTCAATCAGTGTGGTAGTGTGCTGTATGTGTGGACACTGCGCACCGCCAATATAACTGTTGCTGTGCCCGTGGCAAATTCGTTAAGCTTCGCCTTTACAGCTATAACGGGCTATCTGCTTGGCGAACAACTGCCTGGCAAAAGTGAGTGAGCTGTCACATGTTAATATATTCTTTAATTTGCTTTATTCGGTGCAGAGATAATCATTGGAACGTTGCTTATATGTTGCGGAAGCATACTCATGATTTATGACAAGTTGCTACAAGAACAGCAGAGCCAAAGTATAGATTTCCAATAAATATTTACTATTCTTATTTCATTTCTTTATGCATTGTGTCACATATTAAATAAATTATAATTTAAATTATGTTTACAGGAATACACTATTTTAGGTTGCATTACAGATCTGTGCTCAAATGCTATGAATCATTAGTGGTATGCTTGCAATTTATCAATTTCACTTTAGTTATCGATCGTACATTACTGCAGTTAATTTATCGACAATCTGAGTGCCGGGAATTTAAAAATTCTTGCATTTTTTCGTTTTCCCTTTAACTTTTATTACCCTAACCCAAGGCCAAATTGTTTTTATTATTATGTAAATACAACATTGAAAAAACTCAATCAATTATAATTGCAATCTATAACGCATTATGTACCGCCTCAACGAGCACTTCCATGCTTGTGATGGGCGTCTGAGGCGTTATGCCATGTCCCAAATTTGCAATGTAGCGTGATTTGCCAAATTTGTGCACCATTTCAGTGGCGAGTGAGCGCAATTCATTCGGTTCACAGTACATGCTTTGCGGATCGAGATTGCCCTGCAGTGTTATATTTGGACCGACCACTGCACGCGCCTCCACCGGATCCACAGTCCAGTCTAGCCCAATTACATCGTAGCCCAGCTCGCTTTGCTCCTTAAGTGAATGTCCGGCGCCCTTAGCAAATATAATCTATCAAGATATTTAATAAGTTAGCTAAGTAAATATGTTATTTTGGATAGCTACTCACAAGGGGCACCGCTGGTATTACTTTCTTGGTGAGGCGATCTACAAGATCGTCGCGTATGCGACGCAGATAGGGTGCCGACCAAAGCAGAAACTCCTCCTTGCTTAGGTGCTCGGCAGATGACTCAAAGACCTGCAGCATTTGGGCGCCTGCTGTTACCTGCATCTCCAGATAATCCACAATAACATCCGTAAGTAGATTTAAAAACAGTTTTGTGTCCTCCGGATAGTTGGTCAGCCAGGCTTTCGCCTTGGACATGGTCTTACTACCGCCACCTTCAATCATGTAACCCATGAGTGTCCAGGGTGCGCCGGTGAACCCAATCAAGGGCACGCGGCCATCCAATTTGTGGCGCATCATGGTTATAGCATCGCCCACGTACGTTAACCGCGACAGAGCGCCGTCTGGTGTCAAACGCTTCAAGTCCTCGGGTGTGCATATGGGCTGCGGCAGGACGGGACCCACGCCGGCGTGCATCTCCACCGTCAAGCCAAGTGCTTGGGGTATAACCAATATGTCGGAGAATATTATGGAAGCGTCCAGATCAAAACGTCGTAATGGTTGCATGGTTACCTCGCAGGCCAGCTCCGGCGTGCGACAAACAGTAAAAAAATCGTGCTGCTTGCGCAGCTCCTGGAACTCGGGTAAATAGCGTCCAGCTTGACGCATCACCCAGACGGGCACCCTGTCCACAACTTCTCCACGTGCGGCACGTAGCAAATTGTCATTCTTAAGGGGCGGGAAGGGCTGTAAGTGTTTCAGCGTGTTGTTGTTATTATTATTTTTAATTGTCATTCGCGCAACGGGCAGCACCAGCAGCAGCACAAAATATGATAATCGAAGTCCAAGAGTCTTCATTGTTTAATTGAGGTCAAACTGCTTTTGTTGGTGATGTAACTAAATAATGGCAGCCAAATAGTAGCTGGTACCTACCCTGTTGTCTTTCATTTTTAAATAAATAACTTTATTATAATAATTTTACGAGAACAGCTCTATTCTTATTCAACACAGCAAATTTTGATAAATTATTTTATGAATTCGGCGAGCATTTGCATTCGATAAATGTTGTATCGATATGTTGTTGTGCCAGCAGCACGTTTGTTTTGTTTACGTTTGTAGAGTTGCCGGATCGTATGTGTGTCGGCATGTGCCGCCGTGATTTGCACATCACTAACTAAATTGCATTCGTGTCACAAACTAGAACGTAGAAACTGGCAATCACTTATTTTCCTTATTAGAGGTTATTGGTAAATTTTGGTCTTTTTCGTTAAACCACGTTATTTTAGCAATCAATCTTCAATCATTTTTAGATTAATATTGATCGTAAACATGGCTGATGAACAACCAAATTTGGTAGCTGGACATCCACCTGCATGTAAGTGCACTAACCGTTTCTGTTTTTTTCTTCTCTGGGTATTCGAGGGTTTTTAAATCAATTGTGAAATGTTTTAGTAAGCATTATTGACTACATAAATAGATTGAATGCTACGTTGGCGGCATATTACTAGCCCAATCATATTATATTGGCTGCAATATCTCTGTCCTATCTTTAATCCACAAAACGTTTGCCGATAAAGTATCCACATACACACACATACATGCAAGACAAACTATTGCGTTGTGCAGCCGCTTACCAAAAATCATTGAAAACAAGCTGACGTCATAATTTTTATTTACAGTGAAGGCCGGTGGAATGCGCATTGTGCAGCATAAGGCACCTGTGTCAGAGCGCCCGGCAAAGGATGCTGAGGATTGCACAGGTCTAACGGTAAATATAAGTTCATTCGATCATTTATATATATGTATGTTGTTTAAATAACGGTTTTCTTCTACAGAAACCAATCAATGTGAACTCGGCTTCAGTGAGCGGTGCACCCGTTAAGGGAAACACAGATTTTACGCCAGCTGGTGCGCAGGTGGCTCACTCTCACAAGCCCCCGGTGGCTGTGCAACAGAAGGTCCAGTCACACATACAGCAGCCACGCAAATGAATAATCAACTTATTTGTTTATGTCATACGATAGTAAACCTATTGCACTGACTAATTGTATTCGATTGCTGTTTAAAGGGAGATTATTTTAAATATGCCTTGTATTTTGCTACACTAATATTGTTTGAATAATTTTGCTTAACATTAATCATTCCAAATGAATTTTTGCGCGAAGATCGTAAATTAAATGAAATATATTATGGTTTTTTGTAGATAAAATATTTGAAAGTGGTTAAAGATAAGAGATGAATTTTTCTGGTTGAAATTCCCAAGTGCTTTTTTAGCCAACACTGCTTACAAATACAGCTTTTTGTGAACGAATGATGCCCCACTGAGCTTCGGTGGTCCGGGGTGCGGACTTCAAATCCGCAGTCGATTAACGTCGAAGTGGTTCGATTCCACCTGGGGGGCGATTCTATTTGATGTCAGTTGGTTTTTTGCGGCGAATATAGAGGTAATACACGGAAGAAGAGAGACACAAAAATGTCTTAAAATATGCCAAAAGAGTAAGCAATTTGCTTAAACAAAGGCATCTGCGGCGAATTGCTCGCAGCGCACTCTCATTGTGTGTGTGTGTGTGTGAATTGTTTTTACAGTTACTCTCATTAATGCGATTATTCTTTTATTGTATAACAACTTTGGTGTAAATTATAATTAAACTTTTTTATATGGCATTTGCTGTTTTAATTATCCAGGATCGCAGTATGGCGACATCTACATAAACGCCCGGGTAATTGGGCTGCGCACAGCCGTAGCCCCAGGCCACGATGCCCGCCAGCAAACGATCGGAGACCATGGGACCTCCGGAATCGCCGGCGCAGGCATCCTTGCCGGCAGCAGCGGCGCATATCATTTCCGTGCCGACAAAATCCCAACCATAGCCGTACTTGGCAGAGGCGCAGTCGCCACGCTCAATAATCTGCAGCTGCACCAACTGCAGGCTTTGGGCAAAGCCAGCGTCGCCACTCTCTTCCGTATGGCCCCAGCCGCTGACGGAGACACTGCTGCCCGCTGGTGGACTCGTGCTGGTCAGCGCAATGGCCTTGACGGACAGACTGAATGTGAGCTGCGAGGCCAGGCGCAGCAACGCAATGTCGTAGTGCAGCAGCTTTCCATCGTATTGTTCGTGGATCTGGTAGGCTGCCACAGGTAACAGATTTCCGCCGGAATTGTGCTGATTGGCGCCCACGCGCACCTGCAGCAACGTCACGGATGTACCCTGCACACAATGACCCGCTGTGATGATGATCTCCTTGCTGTAGATAGCGCCGCCGCACACATGACGCGCGCTCACTTGTATGGACACCTGCCAGGGTGCATTGTGTATGACCAAATCGTTGCCGCCCACAATGCGACCATAGTCCTGATTGGCCGGCTTTGCCAGGCCGCCAGCGCAGCAAAGCACGAGCAACGCAAGATTGGGAATGGAGCTGGTATTAGCCATGTCTTGGAACACGCACGCAAGCCAAGTGGAAACTGAACGTACCTTGGTCGAGCGAGCATGTTGCCCGCTAGCTTATCGGTTGCCCAAGTGCCGTAAACGTTAATCGCCTGCTAATGGCTTATCGAAGCCAGCGCTTCGAGTGGGTTACCCAGGCAACCATTGACAAACAAATTCATTTCTAGCGACTAGTCGCTATCGCATTGTGTGTAATAAATATTTTTAAATTTCAGCTGCTGTAAAAAGTAGGATGTCCGATCCGTTTGCCATTACAACCGAGGAACTGCTGCGTCTGCGCGACATTTGCTTGGACCAGCTGCGCCAGGATGAACTCCACAAGCTGCGCAACGATGCCAAATTGCGGGCAGTAACTAGCACTGAAAGCTACGAGGAGTTCAAGTGAGTAGATAGTAAATTGTCGGCCCGATTTAAGTGTTCCACCAACATATATCACTTGCAGGGACATTGTGGATGCCGCTCATCTGCGCCCCGTCAGCAAGCAGGACAAGGCCAATGCCAAGACCAAGAGTCGACTGTGGAACTCGGCGGCGCGTGAACAGTCGCCCTGAACTGTAATCAATAAAGCGTAAACTTATAATCTTTAAACCATTGTTTTATTGCAAAAGTTCTTTAAACGGAGCCGGCGTTGTTGACCACCCAGGAGCGGAGATCAGCCACATTCGCATAGACACCGGGATAGTTGGCATAGGCGCAGCCATAACCCCAGGAGACGACACCAACGAGCACACCACCGGACACCAGTGGGCCACCAGAGTCACCTTGGCAGGCATCCTTGCCGCTGGCGGCGGCGCAGATCATGGAGCTCTTGATCTCGCTACCATAGCCGTAAGTGGAGGAAGCGCACACGGACTGGC